CAGAAAGGAATGTGAATGCAATGAACTGGAGAGTCAGCCAACGTTGACTCCAAAATGCAGTTAAATACTAATCATGCCAATGACAATAATGGTGAAAAAAAGTATCCTTATTTTGTAACAGATCTGCATTATAAAATATTGGTTATTAATTGGCCTGAAAGAAATCCTAGCAGTCATAACTGTTATAGGCTAACAAGTACAAAAGCTAGGTATGTGGGGCGCCTCAGTGGCTCAGCGGGTTAAACCTCTGCCTTAGGCACAGGTCATGATCTCAGGGTCCTGGGATCAAGCCCCGCATAGGGCTCTCTGCTCAGTGGGGAGCCTGTTCCCTCCCCACTTTCCTGCCTCTCTGCCTACTTGTGATCTTTGTCAAATTAAAAAAAAAAAAAAAAAGCTAGGTATGCATTCATACCTAGGTATGAATTCAAAGAGCAACAATAGAATGTTGCTATTTGTCAAAACAAGGAAGTGGTCTACTCTTACCAGTTTAATGAGTTTTTTTTGAACGGAAGGAAAAGGTGTCACATTTTATGTGACAGCATATATAAAAACAAGGGAAAAGTTTGTGCCTTTAAAATGATTACGCCTAAGAATAAAGTGAGTGCACAGACTCACAGGACTTTAAAGTGTTAGCAATTAAAATACAAATATATTTAAAACAACAACTCTAAGCTGCTTAAATTATATAATCCCCCCTAAGAGTTGTCTATTAACACCTTATATGAATGCTTTTAATTTTCTATAATGTCCCCCAAAAGAAGTAATTATGATAAAAAGGAAATCAAGTCTGTATCTGCCTCTGATTTAATCTTGAAAAACATTTAAATAACATATTTGTAGTATTTATAAAACTAACTGTATACTTCAAATAGCAAATTCAGCATTCTATAGAAAGATACAAAGATATACAGGTATCTCTTGATATAAAAGGCCTTGGAAAGGGAAGTAGCCCTGAATAACTATTTCATAATTTAATTAATAGAGTCACATAAAGAACAGCTTCCCAAATACTTTTACAACCATGCATATGACAGAGTTATATTTTATACTTTATGGATAAGGTAAATCAGGATTTTGTTTGTAAGTGGCTTAAAGACCGAATCACTGGCCAGTTTTTATCATAAATTAGAATTTGAAATTATTTTCTCACTGTTCCCAGAGAGAAAAAAATTACAAAATTACTCATTTATGTTTAAAAACTTTTTCTTCAATTGTTTTTATAATAAAATAATAAAATAATTGCTATCTGCAGATGATATATATAACTACGTTAATAAACACAAAAGAATCAAATGGAATAATATTATTATTGTTCATATTAGTAGCAAAATTTACTTAATATTTACTATCTGGTCTTCTAAAACTTTTGTATACAGTTATAACCAGACATGAGTCATATACTATTATTCCTATTTTATAAATGAAAAAACTGAAACACAGAGACTGAGTAACTTCCCCAAGGACAACTAGCTAGTACATCATGTGAATGAGATATAAAATCAAATAGCAGGCCCTGCAGAGCCCATGTTCCTGTTCCCATTCAACAAAAACTAGTTAAGAGTTTTGTTAGGTAGTTGGTTATAAAATAAACACACACACAAAGTATTCTCTATATCAATAAAAAACAAATCAGATAAAAGTAACAAAAATAAAACCCTACTTATTAAAAAAGCATAAAGAACAGAAATAGGAGACCTAGACTTCTGAAAAAAGGTAATCAGCAATATAAATGTTTATAAAGGATGTGAAAGACCTTACCTAAGATGCGAACAGTCTATAAAGCAACAGCAATTCAACTATGTTGTAGTTCTGCCATAGAATCAGTATGAGAAACAGAACAAAAGAGTTGAGAAACAGGCCCAAGAATACATCAGACATTAAAATATATTAAGGGAGGATTTCAATTAGCCTTAAATGAATGCTCTAACTCAAGGGTGAGCAAATTACTTCCTACAGGCCAAACCTAGCACACTGCTTGTATTTGTAGGTACATGTAGGTCTTTTTTTTTACTTTTTAAATGGTTATATAAATACCCACATAATATACTATTATCTGGTCCCTTATGGAAAAGTTTTCTAACCTGTGATCTAAATTATAACTGATGTTGGGACAATTAGATATTGGACATGCTCACCGAGAAAGTGGGGGAAGAATACAGGGAAGAGAAATGGGCACCATTATATTCACACCTTAAACTAAAATACCTTTTTTTTTGAGAGAAGAGAGAGACAGAGATTGTTGGTGGGGGAGGGGCAGAGGGAGAGAGAGAATCTTAAGCAGGTTCCACACCCAAAACATAGCCCCACACAGGGCTCAATTTCACAGCCCTAAGATCATGACCTAAGCCAAAATCAAGAGTCAGATGCTTAACCGAATGAGCCACCCAGGCACCCCAACCAAAATACTTTTCTAAGGCAGCTAAGTTATATCTGAAGAATGAGGCACAAAAATGCTAGAAGAAAGTAGATGGAAAAAGTCTAAGTATGATCTCAAAAACAGAAACCACAAATATAAAAAGACTGATGAGTCAAATTTAGTAAGAATGATAAATATTTTTATATTAAAGAACCACTCACTAAACTACAGGCAGAAAAACCTGGGAAAATATTTGTAACAAAGTACAAGAGACCATTAATTTATAGAAAACATTAACAAATAAACAAGACGTACCATATCAAGTGAAAACAAAATGGCACAAAAAATAGGTAATCCACAAAGGAAGAAATACAAATGGCCAGTAACTACACACAAACAAATATACATACAAACTACATACAAAAGATACATTACTGAGTGTGCGTAAATTTAGCAACATCTTTATGTACTTTTTAAGGTGGAGAGGGGCAGAGGGAAAGGGAGAGAGAGACTCTCAAGCAGGTTCCATGCCTAGCATGGAACCCCCTGAAGGGCTCCATCTCATGACCCCAAGATCATGACCTGAGCCAAAATTAAGGATGGATGCTTAACCCACTGACTATCCAGGGACCCGTCTTAATGTATTTTAAAACAATAAGCCTTTTTTTGTATATTGCAAAGACTTAAAGGTAATAGCTGATGAATGTAGAAACTGGTAAACTTTCTAGTGGAAAATATGCAGACATGTCCCAGAGATTTACATAACATTTTAAAAATAAAAATATTTAAAGTATTAAGTTAAAATTTTAGCAGTAAATTATAAGGGTAATTTTTCTTCTCCCTTCTCATGCATGTTTTCTAAAATTTGCAATACTGTCCCTTTACTATTTTGTTACAAAAAAGCTATCAGCAGCAACAGAAATTTTTAAGTAGCTATTATATTATTATTCCCAGCTTAAAGAAGAAAAGGCTGAGGCTTGGAGTTCTTGCCAAAAGGCCCAGCGAGGGTCCATACACATAAGGGTAAGGCTTTAGACCCTAAATTCTTAATCTCTATGTCTTTCTACCTTCTTAATATAAAAAGTTTAGTAAAGAAAATCATCCTGTGTTATTTTTGTGACAACTAAACAGAAACGATAACCAACATATATAAGTGTATTTAATCATTCTGACTAAAAACCTCTGATATAGAGTATTTCTGCTCTCTAGAAGAAAGACATCTCTGTCATTCTCTGTACATACTTTATTCCAGATTTCAGTTTGAAAGCTTTGTATCTTCCTAATCAGAATAAGTACTTTTCATCAATAAGTAATATTCCACTACCATTTTTCCCATCAAACTTAACTTGTATTATACAATCACAGTAATACATGCATAGATTAGCTTTATAGTTTTTACAAGCAACATGACATTCTTTAACTACAATATCAACACGGGAACACATAAACATAGAAACTTCAGTAAAAACAAATTCAATTATAATTTACATCCAAGAACAAATAGCTATATGGTTAGTAAAGCAACAGAAAATTAATTAGATGACATTATTCAAGGAGCTATTAAACTGCACACTAATTAGAAAATCGCCACATATTTTGAAAAGAGCCCTAATAACACAACTGATACATTACTGACAAAATGAAATAATTTTCAAATAAAAATAAAGGGGAGCAACAGCACAACAGAAGGAGAAAAAAATTCACCAAAATCCTAAATCTAAATTAAGCCAATCTGTGAATTCTAAGACACAGGAAGTGATTTACTAATGATCAACTTCAATGAAAAATGAGAGCATTTTTTACGTATTTTAGAATTTTATAAATGCTTTAAACATAAGTAAGAATCTCAATAGCTTAATAACTAGAATAGATTGTTATATAGGTAGGGAAATTAGGAATAGCAAATTCATAAAAAGGGTTGAAAGGAGAAAAAAGGTGTGTGGATACAAAGTACAAAAATGTAATTGGTTTGACTACTACAGTATATTATGTATACTGTTTTTAAAAGGCTTACAAGAATTTGAAAATAACAATTTATTTAAAAATATTTTATCAATTTGCTAATTATGGCTTGGCTGTGTTAAATCCTTTCATTCCAAATGGGATTATAGAACTACTAGCCTTCCAAGGCACTTAATCCACACCTCTATAATGTAACAGCTTCAATGTTCTGAATATAGTTCTTCAAAAATGTTTCTATAGTAGCATTCCTACAGCTGAACAGGAGATGCTCTTACTAACTAAAGTTTATGATTACAGCTTGAAGGTTCCATAGCAACGGTAAAGTTTCATTTAATTTTGCCATTTTATCTTTAAATCTTGCAAATCTGCTTTCTACTCTATGTGCCTACTTAATATAAAAATAACAAGTTAAAAAAAACAACTGATGACCTAGATGTAATACCATGTTTACCTCTTGTCTTTTAGGGCTTCCAGTTTTACCATATCCCAACTTCAGAATCACAGGACATTTTATCTCCCATTAAAATGTAAGCTCATCATTTTTGTATCCCCAGGGACTAGCACTGTGCCTAAAACATAGTCACTCAACCAAACATGGTATTTTGCAATTCATATACTGCTTTTCCAGAACCACAAAGAAACATTCATTGCTGAGTTAACACAATATAACTGATTAACTTACATCTTTTTCTGACCGATGTGGAAACATAGAAGACTGGCTGTAGTACATGTTTTCGTCATGGTAGTCACTGTCGACCCCCTCTACAAACTTCTTTCTTGAAGCACCAAACATGCTGTTTGTCACCTAAACAAAAATATTGCTTTTATCAAGAGTAATATTTTGGAAAATGTCAAGCTTTACGAAACTCCTATGTGGAAAACAGAAAATGAAGGAAACAATAAAGATAAAGAAACAGACCAACTAAGGAAGGGCTAATGGGTCATGTGAAAAAGTCATAAATCTAACTAACTATAAGAATATAACATTAAATTTTTGCTTCCAGGCTCTAAAAGCAAGAGAAGAAACTTAATAAAGCCTATCATATGCAATAATTCCACTTACTTTAAAGAAATATATACCACTTATTCTTGAGAATTTGCAACCTCAAAATTTTCCCACAGAAAATTTTAAAAATTAATTTTGGGTTTAATTATTCAAAATCTTCACACATATCTTTGATATCACTATGTCTTTTGTAAATGATCTGTTTTTCAGAGCGTATCATCTTCACTGACAATCTAAGTTTATTGAGATACAGCACTTTTTGAGTCAACATATAATGGCAGACTAGAAACTTTATCTCAAGCCACAAGTACCCACTCATAACAGTGATGTTTATCATCTTGGTGTAAATTTATGATTTCTATTATGTAACCTGCTTATTACTCTTTTGCTTTTCAATCTTTCCCACATCTGACACTAATAATTTTGAGCCCACACCAATGCAAATAATTACTAAATCTATACTAATTTTTTTTAAAGGCAATACTAGAAAATGGTCTTAATGCTTCTTTTATTTAAGCAATCTCTCCACCCAATGTGAGGCTCAAACTCACGACCCTGAGATCAAAAATGCATGTTCTACTAATTCAGCCAGGGAGGCGCCCACGCTAATTTTCTTCCTTAGGATGACCTCTTAATAAAGTTTCCAAAACTATCAACTGACTATGTTATTTATGGTCAATGTGTCTCCCAACAATGGCACTTTGTAGTCCAAAGTAAAATGAAATGTCATGATGGAAGACATCTGTAAAGACTTGAATACATGGTGACTATATCTTTTCACAAAAATTCGGGGGGAAAACATCAAATTTGACATCTGTCTTATACACTCATTGTGAATAAGGGTATTTTCTTCAATTATCAGTAAGAAATAAACAATTCCTTTTATTTCTCATTTCAAAATAAGACCGTGTAGTTACTACTGTTTATCAGTAGACATGGTGAACTGATAAGCTACAGCCTTTAATGACCAAATTTGACATGCAAGTTTGTTGAAAGCATCAGGCTATTTAATAACTGCTGTTATATCTTAAGGTCCCTGTTAAGTTCTTAAGAACAAATATTTAACCATTCATCCTTTTGAGGTCTGAGAGAAAGTTTTTAAGTTAAATATCAGCAATGGTCTGATGACAGCTTAGACACTGTTTTGCTGTACGCTTTGGGGCTATTAATCTCATTAGGTGTGAAATAAAGAAAGTTATTTTTAAAGGGTTTATTATTTTGTTAGAATATACTTAATCTTTTTTAGTAGTAGACTCCCTAGCAAATCTCATAAAAATTCTTCTATAATTCTAAATGTAATTTCAGAGAGTAGAATCCTATATGCCTATCCACCAAACCCATAAGTATCCCTTAACAGGAAAAAGAAGTGTTTTTTTAGGGAGTTTTATTGAAGAAAAGTAACAGTGAAAAAAAGCACTTTAGTCTACAAATTAAGACTCTTCACAGATGAGATTTTAAAAGTTTATTTTGAAAAAGTTAAGGATACATTTAATTCTCTTTAAAGGACCATTATTACTGAATTCTAAGAAAGGATAAACATGGGGAAACAGCATGTTACCTAGAAAATTCAGTAAAATTTCAAGAGAATCTCATGGTTACCTCTCTTCAAATCATACACACATAAATCAACTCAATGCATACAAAGCAAACTCTTCGTTTGACAATTTTGGTATAACATTTATCATCAAAACCAATTATTGACTCCTAGAATTCCAAAATTGAAATTAAGTATACTGAATAAAAAATTTCATGCTAATATTGTATAAGAGGCTTCACTGTTTGAAAGTAAAACTAAACATAAGTAATGTCTCAAAGGAAGGCAGAAATGTTTATTCATTAATACAAGATTTTCCTACACTCACTGCTCTGTGTATGTTTGTGAGAGAGAGAGAGAGAGAGGGAGAACGTGAGGGAGGGAGGAAAGAAGGGAGGAGGGGAGAGAAGGAGAAAACACAAATATTCAGAATTTCATTTTTGTTTTGTGCACTTCAACACAGAAATTACATATCAGCAAAAATACTAATTATTCTTATGTGACTTCAGCAAAAAAAAAAAAAAAAAAAAGTTAAAAGTGTTAATATTCTATGCTCCAAATGCAACACAAGTCCAGGAATGGGTTCTAAGATGAAACAAAGAATTATCTGATCCAGGGCAAAAAAAGGAATAAAAAGGAAAACAGGAAAAAAGAAAGGGAAAGGAAGGAAAGAGAAAAGGAAAGAACAGAACAACATAGTAAGTTTCTTACAAAAGCTAGTTTATTCCATTTTTAAGGGTCTGTGCTTTATTCCACACAGAATGATGCAATGGGGTAAGAAAAGCATTTTAGACTAGCCATGAAAGATGAAACTATGAAGATAACAATCAGGCAGAGAAGTAAGGGAACCAACTAGGCAAAGACCCGTGGGAAGAGCATTCGACAGACAGGCAACATCAAGATCCTTAGTGCTGTGACTCAAGCAGTAGGAACTTAAGAGAGAATGGGAGAAACTGAAGTCAGAGATACTGGTGATCCCAAACCATGTTGTGCCTTGCAGGCCCTAAGGAACTTTGGATTTTATTCTATGTGAGCTAGAAGTCAAAAGGGCTTGGGGATAGTTTCAGGAGCATAATTTGGCAGCTATCTTATTTTTTAACCATTGCAGTTATTCTATAACTAATGGACAAAAGAGGAAGCAAGAGTGAAGAGAAAAGCAGGTGGTGAGAAAGGACAGTCGCTCAGACTACAGTGGTAGTGGCGGAAGTGGTGAGACATGGTTAGAAAAGGATCTATTTTGAGAGAGACCTCACACTAATGGATGGATGAATGGATGACACCAAAGGGTAAGGCCTTCACATTATCTCCTAGAAGAGAGTAAGTAGGAATCAAAGGAATCTAGAAATCAATTTTTATCAATGTCTAAGAGGATATATCAACAGTATATTGAAATTACTGGTAATACCAAATATAGTGAAGTCAACTTGGTAAACGAAAATTTTTAAAAAATTTCAAATAAAATCATACTACATTTTACATTATATATACCATAGAATCTTTGGTATATGTAATTTGTCAGCTTTTTTCAAGCAAACACAGCAAGGGCTTACATCTATTTTGTTAACTGACACCTCCTCTCTTGACTTTTATACCCGATGTTATAACAATGGAGAAGTAAAAAGTGAGATTTTACCAAGAAAGAATATGATATGACATATGTATACACAAAAGCAGATTCTTAAGCTTTTTTTGAACACAGATCTAAAACATTTAAATAAAGACGTTTTATCTTCCCTTTGATTCTACAAACTCTAATCAGAAAGCATATACATAGGCTAGCTTACACTAATCCTTTCTATCAGTCTAAACCCCCCAAATGCCACACCCCTCAACCCCACAAAAGACTTGGTCTCAAAATGTAGTAGTAGAGAGAGGGGGATTAAAGTGATAGGCAGAATGGAAGCACCAAGTTGGATGGATTTTCCAATATACTTCTTCATAATTTAATTTGGACTAGCAATGAATTCCTAAGGTACAGTACTTCAAGCTCAAATGCAGTAAATCAGAATAGTCACCAAAAAAGAATGTGCAAAACCCCAAACTTATGATGATCTAAACGAGTAACTTCAAAGATTAGGAAAGAGGCTCCAGGTGGGACGGATGACAATTAAAGAACAGAAGGAATGAAAAGCAAAGCCTGGAGCTTTATAAAAAGTCAGGGAAACAAAAGTAGGACACTTTATAAATGAAAACTTGAAAATATATGTGTATATATGTGTATATACATATACAGAAAAAAAACACATAGGAAAGGGTAAAAAATAGACTCATATCATATCCAAGGCAGGATGATATTTAATCTTACACATTATTTCCTTCAGCAAGGCCTCTGGAGAGGAACTTACTCTGAAATCATTTATTGTCTATATTGCTGGCAAATGCTGGCCCAGGCATGGAATCCTATTCCCAGGGACAGAAACACATCCATGGCAGAGTGGTCCTTTTCCTGATAGCAAACAAATGTAGGTTGGTTTCAAAATCTATCTCCAGGTGTAACTCAAGGTTCTAGCAGCATATTTTAAAGTACCCCTAAACATTTCTACCTGAGAAGTACAATTAATAAACTAAATCAGTTAATATTTAAAACTGATTTTCCAAGTTACTTCCTCTTGCTTTGTTCTGTACATCCAAGTTCTATCCTTTCTTCAAAATGGCTTTCACATCTGTTTTTGCCATTCTTCCTACCATCATCTTAGTTTAATATCTGAACTAGTTTGTTTTAGTCTCCTGACTGGTCTGCTTTCACATTTCAATGAACATGCTAAGGAAATACTATATGAATTATGCCAAAAATTGTGATAATGTGGGGCACGTCAGCTCAGTCGGTTAAGCATCTGCCTTCAACTCAGGTCGTGGTCCCAGGGTCCTGGGATGGAGCCCCATGTTGGGCGGTGGGGGGGGGGGTGGGGGGGTCGGGGGAGTGTGTCCTGCTCAGCGGGGAGCCTGCTTCTCCCTCTCCCCCTGCACCCCCTATGCTCTTTCTCTTTCTCAAATACATAAATAAAATCTTAAAAAAAAAACATGGTAGTGAATACAAAAGCTGAATAAGTAACAGTTTCAAGTCTTGAACAATGTCACAGTCTAGCTGAGAAACGTATCTGCAAATAAACAATTACAATATGAAAATCTGCACAGGTACTTTAGGAACACAAATAAGGGAATATCTGTGCCTGAGGGAAATTGACTATAAGATGGTATTATAAAAAAACTAATGTCTGAACAAAGACTTGATTAAAAAAGATTTAAAAAATTTGAAAGTTGAAGTACGTGGGGTGGGAGATGGAAGCAAACTTGTGGAATAAGTCACAGCATGCACAAGTTCTCAGAAGTGAGAAAAAGCCCAAGTAACAAGACTAGGAAGTCTAGAAGAATGGTGATAGGTGATAAGGAAAAGCAGGCCTAGACTTCAATGCCAGATTAAGAGGGAAACAGTATAGGCCTGAAAAGCAGGTACAAAAACCTAGGTGATGAACTAAGTTAGACTTCCCTAGACTAACTAGTTATTATGGTGCCATGCTAATAACCGCTACACTGACTCACTCTCTTGTTCTCATCTCTTGTTAATTTCTCCTACCTAGAGGATACAGACGAAGATTTCTGAGATCATGACCTTATTGTGACTGTTTGGCAGTAATTATCTCAAAATCCCAAACAAAACTTATGCCTCAGCTTAATTTGAGTTATTCAGAGTTACTCCTATTCATGTTAATCTCTGCAAAATGCCATCTGTACCTTCTATGATCTTCAACAATTAAACCTCAAGCTGACTAGACTGACTTTAAATATTTATCAACATTATCCATCTTTCCTAGCACAAGCATCTCCAATATCCTTCAAACAGATCTTTATTTATTAACCCAATTCTTATTCCCTTCAAATTGACTCTATTAGCCAAAGTGAGTTTTTAAAGTAAAAATGTAATTGTTGTAGTGCTACTGACTGAAATGCCTCAACACCTTCCTATAATAATATTAAGACTTACGGGGTCCTGTGTAAACTCTCTGACCTTAACTCTCTCCACAGGTCCACCACCTGTCACCCACCACTAAACTGCTGCCACACCAACACAAGATCTTTCCCACCTCAGGGCTTTTGTATATGCTGATACCTCTATTTGGAATGTTCTTTCTCCCATTTGAAACTTTCACACTAAGTTAGGGCTCCTGATTTACAGTCACTGAAAATGCTTTACCAAAACTACAATCATACAATGACAAAAAATAACTTTCATTGACCACTTACTACATGCCAGGCAATATACCCTAAATTCTTCAAAATGTATTGATTTACGTAATCCTCAAGTATTTATTTGTGTAGTCCTCATTTTCAGATGAGAAATGGGGAAGTTGGATAACATGCCTAAGGTCATATATCTGATGTGCCCAAGGTTCCATTATCTGATAAGTGACAGAGATGGATATGAATCCAGGCAATCTGCTACAGCTCCCCCTTTGTAACTACTACAGTACACTCTCACACATTCAACTAATAGTTTAATGTGTATATTCTCCCCAAACTGTAAGCTTCACGAGGCAAAAAGGAGTAAGGGTAAAAAAGGGAAGGGTGCTTATTTTGCAGTGAACAACAAATATAGAGGATGTTACAATCAAATATTTGTGCAAGTCAAAACAATCTCTTTAGCAGGAAAATGAAAATGAACTGACTAGAGGTACAGGAAACAAAAGCTACTCACTACCAAACTGACTGTACCTATTTTAGAGAAAGTTCCATTAATTTTAGGATAAAATTATGCTTAAAAGAATACTTTTACAACGATTAAAAAGTAATTAGTTTCCATATTCCAAATCAACTAATATTTTAAAGTACTTTCTAAATACAGTGAACAAAATTTAATCCTTCAAGGAATTAGGATTATAAAATCTCTAAGTTTCCTTATAAACCACTAAAATAGACATTATAGCACTGAATGTGTAGAATACATCTATTAAATGAGTTCAAATAAGAACAAATTCCTACTGGCAACAACTTCTTGTGGATTCTCTTCTCTAACGCAGCCAGGGGTTTTACTGTTAACACACGGATACATGTGCCCCACCATAAAATCAACTATTTCACAACTTTAAAGTATGAAGACTTTTTCTAGCAACAGAATTTGCTCCTACCTTGTATTATAAAGGATAAAATGTGCCAAATATAAGTCATATGGTGCCCTAGAGGGGAGGTGAACAGACTGTTCCTTTCTTACAGTTCCCCTAATGGAGATTTTTACTAACTCACTCTGATAGCTGAATAAAGAATTTGACTTCTTCCTTGCCTTTCCCTCCCAATTCCACATTCACTATCAGCAAACACTTCACATACACACAAGTTCTCTGCTGTCTACAAAGTAAGCAGAAACTAATAAAAATCAGTCAATTACCATTAATATTTACCAGCTTCATCAAGATGCAATCAACCAACATTTGAAACCAATCATGCAAAGCCATAATATCTGAAGATAATCTGGTATTTTTATTACTACCATTACAGAGAAAAGTGGGAGGTCAAATCTCACTGAGATAGCGCTCAAACTTTGTGAAACCAGAACATTCGTTTATCAAATATTATAGATGACAGCCTAGAAGTATTTATAACCCAAGGAATTTTTGTTTTAGAAGTATTTTTTGGTAACAGGATTCTAAGCTACCACCCCATTTCACAACTACCATAAATAATCTTTATTTTACTTCATTCCTGCAAAACAATAAAAAAAAAAAAAAAAGAAATGGGCTTAAATAAAGGAGGAAAGGATACATACACTGGAAAAAAAAAATCTAGCTTCTCAAAAAACAAAGAACTCAGTATCTGAATATCTTTAGAAAAAGAACAAATGATGTTTCTCTTCTCATCTAAGAAACATATTTCTTATGAAGTCCCACCAGTTCCAGAATACTGTGGCTTGATATTTATAATATGGCAAATACATAATGAAGTTTATGAATCTGCTTATGCTGGATCTAAGAAAAGTGAAGGTTTATATAAAATTTTAGAGGTAGAATTTCTAAATTCATCAACTTGAACCAAGAGCATATAAATAAATAAAAACAATTCACTTCACTTCACTTCAAACGCAGAATGCCCAATAAACAAATAATGAAAGCATTAATGAATACTGAAAAGGCAGTTAACAGGTAGAAGCACAGAGAACACATGTCTCTGGATTCAGCAAAAAACTAGGGGCTTATATGAACATATCCATAATCATTATTTTGCCAGGTAAATATTCTGGCACAGAGTTCTTTCCAGGGATTACAGAGATATTTTATAAGAGGTCTCATTCAACAACAACAAGACCAGGGTAGTACATATTCAAGAAAAAAATGGAGAGGGCAAGCAAAGAAGAAAAAAATGGAGAGGGCAAGCAAAGAAGAAAAAAATAACACATCACTCTTCGTAATTCAAAAACCATCTACTAAGATCTGTTGTCTAAAGCTGCTTAACTCAGATATTCCCCCAAACCATGCACACCATCTCTTAAAATGCACCCCAAAATCAACAAATTCTCTAAAAAGTGTTACTAAGAGTCTATAAATGCCCCTATCAGTTTGACTTTGATCTAGGGAGAATATGTTCTGTATGCCTCAACTTGAAGAAAGAGATTTTGTGATTTTCCAGAATCTTAACATCACCTGTATCGATATGCCTTATACAGGTTCAAAATTGAACCACCAACATGTAAGCTTTAAAAAATACATTATCCTAAAACAAAACTCTAATAACTCAAAATGTGCTAATCCACAGAAGAAAATACACAATTATATACCAACTAAAGAACCAATTATAATTGGTATGCCTTATGGGCACTAAGTTATTAGAGTTGAGAAATCACATAACAAAGTTCATAAAAATTTAAAAAACAGTACTTCATCCTTAAATATTAGAATACAAATCTATCATGTACAAGTAAAAGGACATACAACAATAGAAGATCTCCATGTTTAGAATACAAAACAAATCCTGTAAGCATAAGGGAAACTCTTAAATGAGAATGAATATGGTATCTTAAACCAATCTTAAACCTTAAGAGAAAAGATCAGTCTAATAAGGAGGAAGGGAGAAAGGGAAATCCAGAAGAAACTGGATGTAGGGTCTGCTTTGTCAAGGGACTATGTATTTCTACAAGGCTCTTAGTAAATTTAAAACAAAAACAACAAAACAAAATAAGCAATTCTAGAATTTAAGGGAAGAACAAGGGGGGTAAACTGCTGAGGATTCTCTATTTTTAGGACCTAAAGTGCCAAACAGTCAGTGTTCCAATCTCTTTGAGTGTGACACACTTTCTCTGAAGAAATGTTAGCAATCATAGGCCGTATTAAGTCTCCTTTCCCTGGATATAATTTTGAATGTCTTGTTATGTGCAAAAGAATGTAGAAATTATTTGAATAAGAATTATACAGGATCAGTCTGGGAGAATGAAAGAAACAATTTTGAAGACTTTCTGAGAGGCAAGAGCCTAAAAGAACAGTATTAATTAGTAAGCAAAGTAGTACAGACCTAGGACTACATTGCTAGGGCTACATTGCTACAAAATTATTTCAAATAACCATATATTAAGACGGAAAAATCTGTAATGTTAGATCATGACTTCCAGTACAATCCAGACAAAGAGAAAAATGCCTGGAGTGTTAGAATTTCACACACACACGCACACACACACACACACACACACGAACAAACTCTGGTGACCTTATTCATCTAACAAATCTTTGCTGAACTTCTGCAGCAGACATAATGCCTTCACTGGCTCGTGCACTCATTTTTGTTAATCTCAAACCCCAAGATGGTAGAAATGTTCCAGTCTTCCTGTCTAGACCTCACAGAAAAAGATACCTGAAGTTTCTATTCCTGCAGATTTTAAAAATACAGCCATTTGCCTAAAATCTTGAGAAACAGAAGAACAGCACGTCTAAAGCTAGTGGAAGGAAACTAAAATTTGCCCCATTCTGAGACCAAGTTACATGTAGCAAAATTTTAAGTCCATGAATTTACACCTTCCCCAACATTTTTTCTTAGCTTCTTTTCTGAAAACAAATTTTCTGGTCCTGCCACACACTGTGGAAAAATATGAAGTTGGTAAAAAATAAAATAAAAAATAAAATAAAAAATCTAATAACCTTCCTTTGTATTATCATATTAATGGCTTATTCAGTTTAAGGGTTTCTGTTTCACATCTAATAAAAAAGTAATATTATTTCTTAGGACACTAGACTCTTCTATTTAATAATTTATGATAGTTATATGAGAAAAATAATTTACAAAAACATTGTATTTTTAAGCTAACAAAATGACTCACTGGTAAATGGCCCAACATCCACCCTCAAAATACTGATGACAGTACCATTTCCCCCCCACCCACATACTTACCTGTGCAACTTCTTTCAACATTTGCTACTCTGGGGATTGGAAAGCTCAGAGCTGGAGGCTGAAGTGAAGAAGGAAAGGTTGGAGGGTGAGCCATGACACCAGCCCCACACTAGGAGCTCCCCTGAGATACTACAGCAGGGTTGACACCATAGCTCTGAAGTTCAAACTCCAGCAAACGATAAGAAAGGAGTCCAACCAGAACATGATAAACGATGGGATTCTTCTGCTCTTTGAAAAATAAGGAAATCATGCTATAAAGATCTGAACATCCAGTTTCAACATTATGACTCCCTGTTCACATCTTCATTATTCCCAACCCCAGAATCATCTCTCAGACTGATTGAAAGCATAAATCAAAAAAAGGACGGGGGCAAAGTTTTCTATAAACTTGAACAGTTTTTCAGAAAATGAAAGGATAGGGCTTACCTGGTGATCATGAAACCATCTAAGACAGTATGTTAAAATACTCTGCCTATCCACTCCTTGTATACTTTTTCTTGTTCTCCTAAGCACTCGACATTAAATCTTAGACTCTCATATATATTAACACCATCAACCAGCAGAATGACAGCTAAACTACATGGATGTATTTAAATTCTTAAAAGTGGACCAGTGAACTTCTTGAAAACCAGGGATACCTTCTGCTGTAAGTATATTCCTTGGGAGGAAATGACCGAGATCATTCCATCCTAAAACAGCAGAGTACACATTCTTTTCAAGAGTACATGGAACATTCTCCAGAATAGATTACATACACTAGGCCACAAAATAAGTCTCAATAAATTAAAAAAAAAATAGAATTTCTTAAACATGTTCCACTCTGATAAAAACAAATAAGGACCCCCTCAATTAAAATAACTTGAAACAAACTAAATGGTAAAGAGAAAAATGTAAAGACTTTTAAAGAAATCAACCTAAACCCAGGACTTAAGTGTGATTTATTCACTTTAATAAAATGTGAATCTTTGTTGTATAATATAAATGAATTACTGATTCAGAGAACACCAGATCCTATTATGAACACTAGGGCTAATAAAAATAGATGCTTAAGTTATTTAAAGATAACATCTATTCAATAGCAAATATTACTGAAGGTAGCAAATACTCGGAAATTGTAAACTAAATATAGAGTAGTATCAGAAAAATTATGCTATATGAAGCAGTTAAAAATGCAAAGTATTCCTTTAGCAAGGGAACACAGGACCTTTAAAATATTCCTAAACATCTTGCCATATAAATTAATTCAATAAACATTCAGTAGGCATCTACTATGTGTTAGATAATCACTTTTCTACTCTTACATACTTTATCCACTTGATGCTCAGAAATAAAAGAACACTACAGATCAAAGGGAACAGAGGTGAAAACATAAAAGCATTAATTCATTTACCCTTATCTTAAATCTCCTACCTTTTCCCTTTCTCTTTCGGTCTTCCTGCCATACTACTTTCCCACTTCTATCCCAGGCCTTTGTACTTCTTTCCTCCAGAAATGCTATTCCCCTAGATATGTATCTGGGCTTCTTAACCCACCCAACTTCTGTTACTTAGTCATCTCAGTGAGGACTACCCTTCTTTTCTATTGAAAATTATGCTACCCTTTTCCCCAACTCCTTAGACACTTTCTATCTCCTTTTTCAATTGTTTCTCCACAATATTATCAACATATAATTTATAGTGTATTTTATTTATTCTATTTAATTTTATTCATTTCTATGCTCTAACATATCAGCTCCATAAAAACAGAAAATTGTGTCTCTTTGTCTCCTTAGGACCTGGAACCCTCACTGCCTTACACAGCAGGCCCATAACATGAATGTGTACTCATTTTACTGCCATTACTTGAGTGATACTTGACACGAACTGACCAATGAATTGCTTACAGCACAGGGTAAAAATTTTATGACACAACAGTTATTTTTAAAACTAATGGAATTATGTTGAAAGTTAATGTTAAACTTTACATTTCTGAAACATATGAATAAAACTGTTTTATGCCTTTTCTGACAACCACTGACAACAGACAACCACTTCCAAAATACCTACAAAACTGCCAGAAACCTTCAGTGGTTAGAATGCTATGAGAAGTAGCAGATAAGATCTGGGATATTAAAAAATGTTTTTTCCATTTCCTTATTTTTTTTTTCAAGTTAGACTGCCTTTTTTTAAAAAGCTGTTTTGAGAGCATTTCAGACTTATGGTTTAATACGAAGAGACAAGACATGTCTCTTTTGCATCACAAAATCCCACTAGCAGAATTATACTACTTAGAGCCACTGGGTTGCACTGTAGTCCATGGGAATACGTACTCCTTGGGACTTAGCCAAAACAGTGCACTGCCTGATTAGTCTAATACAGTGAGCTTGCTACCACTAAGCACGAGTAAGTACAGTTCAAAGTACCGTGTAGGTGTATGTATGTGTATACATGCATGTGTATATGTTACACAGGTACATATATACATATGCACATATACATAAAACCTCACTTAATCACAACAAAACCTCTGTAAGATGATTACTTCTACCTCAAATTGAGGCATGGAAGAGTAGAGTCTACAGGCTCCAGATAGATCAAAGATGTTTTCCTATCACAGTTATCATGGAGAATACCCAGCCCTTGTGCCTCCAATAAGATACCAGAAAAAATCCAAGTGGATAGGCTCTAAATCTTGGTACTTAGCCAAAGTGCAGGTAAAGGGTGAGGCATGGACCTGAAAACTGAAGGATGAAGATGTGTACTTTTAACTGTAAGTTCGATCCTCCTCTTTCTTTCCTTAACATGCTTACAGAATGCTACCACTGAAAAATATTAAGAACCACCTCTCTGTCCTCTCCTGGAAACTATGTATTTTCTGTGAAAAACTGAAATTGCTCAAGAGAAATGAACTTCACACACTATCAAAAGGAGGTACTTAGCCAACAGAAAGACTAATTTAATTACATGGTAATAAGCTCTGTCCCCAAACACTGTCACCATGTTTTAAAAACTTTTTATTTGGAAATTATTTTAGACTTGAAAAATAGTACCAAGTTCCCATATGCTCCACTTTCCCCTAGTGGCAACATCTTATATCACCATAGTACAAGTACCAAAACTAAGAAATTAGCTGTTAACTAAACAACTTTATACAGATTTCATCAGTTTTTCCATGAACGTCTTTTTTATTTTTTTTATTCTAGGATCCACATTACTTTTAGTTTTATGTTTCCTCGGTCTTCTCCAACCTGGGACTTTACCTGTTTTTCCTTGCCTTTCACAACATGATGTCATTAGTTATACTGATGCAACTATACCATAGTGTCCTGCCATGTGAATGGGTCTTATGTTTTCTCATGACTAGAGAGAGGTTATGCACTTTGAAAGCCACTTCACTACAGAGGTAATACGTCCTTCTCAAGTGCATTCTACATGATGAACATATCCAGGAGTGCATATCATCATAGTATGTTTTATTACAGGTGATATTAACCTTGATCTTCATTAAGCTGGTACATCCACCAGTTTTTCCACTATGAACTCCTACTTTCCCATTAAAACAATTAATGCTTTGAAATATGTTCTTTGAGAGCATGCAAATATATGTTTGACCTTAAAGTTTTGCCTACTATTACGGCAGTCATCCATGGATACTGCTTGCAGCATCGATTACTATGATGCTCTAAGGATGATTTGCTATTTTCATCCTTCTAATCTGTACTTGTTAACTGAAATGCTTCTACAAGGAAACCAGTCATTTTTTAAAGATCTCACTTTTAAATATGAAGAGTGTCAAAGACTTTAACCAACAAAGACTCCAAAGTAATATAGGTAGAAACTGAAGTATAGTATCTCAAAATTGTTACTCTAACAATCATTCTTTCAGGTTTATTACAATGCCTTTACCCCACTAGAGAAAAAGAGGTTTAAAACTTCATATGTCCCAAGAAATCTCTCTTGACATTTCTGGCCCTAAATAAGAAAGATCTTCATTTTCTTTTTATTCTTGAAAAAATATCCTCCCTCCCCCCTTTTTTTTAAGCATTATGTACTATACTGTCTAATTTACTGAGCCAGGTTAAACATAAAAGAGATAACTTAGTATTTTATGCTACAGGACACATATTTTACAGGAATACTAGTAAAATTACTACCTCAGCTGAGAAGATAAATGACTACTTTATTTACAGGTCTATTAGATTCTAGGAAACCTTGGGGAAGGAATTCAAGGGAAATCATGTAATTGTTTGCTTTAGGTTAAAGAGAATCACAGCTATGAAGACTACATATATGAATTGTAATATATTTGCTGGCCTGTACTCTTTTATGTGTCTTTCCAAATGACTAAGTGTTAAGAAGTCTAATAATATTTCTGTGTATTACACACCACACAGCATCTTACGCAACAGTAAGTATTCAAGCCTTAACTGAATATTGACACAAAAGCTTGTTCTCTTTATCAGAAATGATTTCTCATCTATCTTCTCAACTAAAATATAATTTTTTAAAAAAATGAATTATGATTTGTACTTCTAACGAAGATGGAGTAGTAGGAGCAACTTTCCCTCCTGCCTCACCTGAAACAACTGTAAGAAAGGACACAATACATGAACCAACAGTTTTCAGACATAGGACATAAGGCAGTTCAAGACAGTAATCCCTGAGAGAGAGAGAATTGATGCAAGCCCGCAAGTGCCCTTGCTTACACACTAGGGGAGTTTCTGGGCTGCAATGCAGGGAGAGGAAGCCCTGGTGGAACCCAGAAATCTCTGCAAATTGAGGAAGTGCAGTTCAGATCTAGGTAGGCCAAGACAGCTAGAGTAAAAAGTCTAGAATACCAGACAGAAGAGCGCTGCAAAGAGAAAGAGTTACGGAGATCTGAACAATGTCCCTCTTGAGTCTTCAGCTAAGTACTGATCCACATATGCACAAAGCAAATCACCAGGGATGCCTGGGTGGCTCAGTGAGTTAATCATCTGCCTTCCACTCAGGTCATGATCCCAGGGTCCTGGGATGGAGTTCCACATCGGGCTCCTTGCTCAGCAAGGAACTTGCTTCTCCCTCTGCCTGCCGCTCCCCC